TTATGGTTTATAATGGCAAATGATACTTTGAATATTACATGTTAATAACTTGATTGGAATTATAACCTTGAATTGACAGTTTGATACTTTGAAAATTTTGAGCCAGCCCTACCCCCAAGGGCTGTAGGGTGGGGCTCAAAGGAGTCAGTGTGCTAAAATTTCTTCATTTTCCTTGTTTAGAATCAGAGGTGCTAGTTTCAAATCCTTTTTAGTCTGAAATCTGTATGCTAGATATTGAATAAGGTGGTTTTATTGTTTTTTGTCACTTTGAATAATATTTCTGTTCATGTTAAAAACAAAATCAACTCTCTGTATAATTATATCAGGTGACCGTTAAGGCCCCATGGGCCTCTTGTTTCAGTATTGATCACTTTGACCTAGATTATAGAGTTGGCAAGCATTTCAGGCTTACCTCCAATAAAGTGGAGCTGTGACTCATATTTCGCAATAGCATGTGGTTTTTTTCTATTTTAGAGCGTACATCGTCATGTTCTTCTGTGAGCTCTACCTCTTCTCCTCATTCACCTGTAGCAACAATTCCTTCCAACCTCCCAAACTCGCCTGAAGAGCCTCTTGTCTTCCCAGAAGTCACATTTAAAGATGGCGGTGCCCACTGGTATCGATCCTCTGCTGTGCTTCTCTTCTTCCACAAGTAAGTTGTAAGGTCTGTCTGTATCTTTATTACATAAATAAGTCAAAGTTTCGTCATTATATCACAAGTAGGTCATAAGATCTTAACTTCATTACACAAAAAGGTTGCAGACAGTATTTCGATCAGTAAGTAACAAGATCTGACAGTTATTCCATTGGTAAGTAACAAGGTCTTACAGTAATTCCATCAGTAAGTAATAAGGTCTGACAGTAATTCCATCGGTAAGTAACAAGGTCTTACAGTAATTCCATCGGTAAGTTACAACGTCTTACAGTGATTCCATCAGGAAGTAATAAGGTCTTACAGTAATTCCATCGATAAGTAACAAGGTCTTACAGTAATTCTTTCGTTAAGTAACAAGGTCTTACAGTGATTCCATCAGTAAGTAATAAGGTCTAACAGTAATTCCATCGGTAAGTAACAAGGTCTTACAATAATTCTATCAGTAAGTAACAAGGTCTGACAGTGATTCCATCAGTAAGTAATAAGGTCTTACAGGAATTCCATCGGTAAGTAACAAGGTCTTACAATAATTTCATCAGTAAGTAACAAGGTCTAACAATAATTCCGCCAGTAAGTAACAAGGTCTGACATTAATTCCATTGGTCAGTAACGAGGTCTGACATTAATGGTCAGTAACAAGGTCCGACATTAATTCCATCCATCAGTAAGTAACAAGGTCCAACAATAATTCCACCAGTAAGTAACAAGGTCTGCCAATAATTTCATCAGTAAGTAACAAGGTCTAACAGTACTTCCATCGGTAAGTAACAAGGTCTGACAATAATTTCATCGGTAAGTAACAAGGTCTGACAGTAATTTCATTGGTAAGTAACAAGGTCTGACAGTCATTCCATTGTAATAAGGTCTTACAGTAATTCCATCGGTCATTAACAAGGTCTGACAGTAATTACATCAGTAAGTAACAAGGTCTAACAATAATTCTATCAGTAAGTAACAAGGTCTGACATTAATTCCATCGGTCAGTAACAAGGTCTGACATTAATTCCATTGGTCAGTAACGAGGTCTGACATTAATTCCATCGGTCAGTAACAAGGTCTGACATTGATTCCATCGGTCAGTAACAAGGTCTGACATTGATTCCATCGGTCAGTAACAAGGTCTGACATTGATTCCATCGGTCAGTAACAAGGTCTGACATTGATTCCATCGGTCAGTAACAAGGTCTGACATTAATTCCATTGGTCAGTAACGAGGTCTGACATTAATTCCATCGGTCAGTAACAAGGTCTGACATTAATTCCATTGGTCAGTAACGAGGTCTGACATTAATTCCATCGGTCAGTAACAAGGTCTAACAGTAATTTCATCAGTAAGTAACAAGGTCTAACAGTACTTCCATCGGTAAGTAACAAGGTCTGACAATAATTCCATTGGTAAGTAACAAGGTCTGACAATAATTTCATCGGTAAGTAACAAGGTCTGACAATAATTTCATCGGTAAGTAACAAGGTCTGACAATAATTCCATTGGTAAGTAACAAGGTCTGACAGTCATTCCATTGGTAAGTAACAAGGTCTGACAGTCATTCCATCAGTAAGTAACAAGGGCTGACAGTAATTTCATCAGTAAGTAACAAGGTCTAACAATAATTCCGCCAGTAAGTAACAAGGTCTGACAGTAATTACATCAGTAAGTAACAAGGTCTGACAGTCATTCCATCAGTAAGTAACAAGGGCTGACAGTAATTTCATCAGTAAGTAACAAGGTCTGACGGTGATTCCATCAGTAAGTAACAAGGTCTGACAGTAATTTCATTGGTAAGTAACAAGGTCTGACAGTCATTCCATTGGTAAGTAACAAGGTCTGACAATAATTCCATTGGTAAGTAACAAGGTCTGACAGTAATTTCATTGGTAAGTAACAAGGTCTGACAGGAATTCCATCAGTAAGTAACAATGTCTGACAGTAATTCCATCAGTAAGCAACAAGGTCTGACTGTAATTCCATCAGTAAGTAACAAGGTCTAACAATAATTCCACCAGTAAGTAACAAGGTCTGACAATAATTTCATCAGTAAGTAACAAGGTCTAACAGTAATTCCATCAGTAAGTAACAAGGTCTAACAATAATTCCGCCAGTAAGTAACAAGGTCTGACAATAATTTCATCAGTAAGTAACAAGGTCTTACAATAATCCCATCGGTCAGTAACAAGGTCTGACATTGATTCCATCGGTCAGTAACAAGGTCTGACAGTTATTCCATCGGTAAGTAACAAGGTCTAACATTAATTCCATCAGTAAGTAACAAGGTCTAACAATAATTCCACCAGTAAGTAACAAGGTCTGACAATAATTTCATCAGTAAGTAACAAGGTCTAACAGTAATTTCATCAGTAAGTAACAAGGTCTAACAGTAATTCCATTGGTAAGTAACAAGGTCTTACAGTGATTCCATCAGTAAGTAACAAGGTCTGACAGTAATTCCATCAGCAAGTAACAAGGTCTTACAATAATTCCATCAGTAAGTAACAAGGTCTAACAGTAATTTCATCAGTAAGTAACAAGGTCTTACAATAATCCCATCGGTCAGTAACAAGGTCTGACATTAATTCCATCTGTGAGTAACAAGGTCTAACATTAATTCCATCGGTCAGTAATTCCATCGGTCAGTAACAAGGTCCGACATTAATTCCATCCATCAGTAAGTAACAAGGTCTAACAGTAATTTCATCAGTAAGTAACAAGGTCTTACAATAATCCCATCGGTCAGTAACAAGGTCTGACATTAATTCCATCTGTGAGTAACAAGGTCTAACATTAATTCCATCAGTAAGTAACAAGGTCTGACATTAATTCCATCAGGGAGTAACAAGGTCTAACATTAATTCCATCAGTAAGTAACAAGGTCTGACATTAATTCCATCAGGGAGTAACAAGGTCTAACATTAATTCCATCGGTAAGTAACAAGGTCTGACAATAATTCCATCAATAAGTAACAAGGTCTTACAGTAATTCCATCAGTAAGTAACAAGGTCTTACAATAATTCCATCGGTCAGTAACAAGGTCTGACATTAATTCCATCAGTGAGTAACAAGGTCTAACATTAATTCCATCGGTCAGTAACGAGGTCTGACATTAATTCCATCGGTCAGTAACAAGGTCTGACATTGATTCCATCGGTCAGTAACAAGGTCTGACATTAATTCCATCGGTCAGTAACAAGGTCTGACATTAATTCCATCGGTCAGTAACAAAGTCTAACAGTAATTCCATCGGTCAGTAACAAGGTCCGACATTAATTCCATCGGTCAGTAACAAGGTCTAACAGTAATTCCATTGGTCAGTAACAAGGTCTTACAGTAATTCCATCGGTCAGTAACAAGGTCTGACAGTAATTGCATGAGTAGGTAGCAAGGTCTTACATTTTAATGAAATATTTTATGAAATTGAATTTCAAATTGATTATTGTAGCTAGGAGCATTCTATCTAAATCTCCATTAGTTTGTCAATTACTTCAAAATGAATTGTCTCTGAGCTTTTTTTTACATTGTGTTGTAGGTGGTTTAATAAGGCCAACCCAAATGATCCTAAAAGGCAGCCAACAATATCAGGGTGAGTGCTCTAACAATATTTTACCAATACAATGAGTCCAAGAATAAGTTCCTAGAAAATGATGCCAATAGATGATCTATGTAATAACCAGTGTTGTAGCTAATACTCATCTTATTTCCTTTTCTCTTTTTATTAAACTTGAGTGGAGACTGTCTGAATGTTCGCCTTCAGGTACTACGCCTAAAATTATTAAGCACAAGTGGCTTTAAGTCCTGGGAGTCAAACCCAGGCCTACCAGCACATTGACCCATACTCTCAGTCAAATGGCTCTAGATCGCACATTCTGTTAGCACTGGTAACTTACTTAACTTAAATACTCATCAAACATTGAAATAAAAGGAGGGGGAAATCCTCAATTTTTACCTAGAAAATCAACAGCTTTGCTAGGGTGGTATTGCATGGAATTGAATGCCCACACACAAGCTCAACTCATTGAAGTGTGTTAAATTCAAGATTGATACTAATGTTTCATATGTACGAAATATATAATATTCTACAGTAAATGATGAGTTCAAGTTAACACCTTTAGTGTCTGTGTCATATAGGTCAAAGGTTATGGCCCTTGGAGGTATACGCCTTGTGGAGTTGCGGAGTGATCCTGAGGGCGTTGTATTTTTCCACTGGGAGTTTCTGCGGGAAACTCCACCCACAAACTTTGTCCTCAAGTTGTCTGCGGTACAGAACCTCCCAGCGGGGGCAGCAGTGGTAACAGTCCTGGTTGAAGACAGCTATGGCAATATCACAAGGCGTAAGGTACGATTGGAAGACTTCCAGAAGTAGCTCCGCCCACTCTTCAGATGGCACCTAGCTAGGTGCCAACACCCACAGGGTAGTTAAAATGTGGGGTTTGTAATTTGTTTTTATATATAAATGTTTGATTTATAACTAATCACATTGCAACCGAGGTCATTATTGAGTTACCTTGAATGGGAAATTTATCAAAAATTGGTTGTTGTTTTTTAAATAGTAAAAAGGTTACCTAAATAGTGGAAATTTTCATGTTGTGAAAAGTTTTGCTAATTTTACATGAAACATATGCACCAGTTAAAACCCTTAAAGCTGAGAGTAAAAGGCTATTTTCATTATTTTTTAATCAATATCAAAAACTAGAGATGCCACTATTTGTAAGATTAGAAGAAGAAAATAAGAAAAATGGAAGGGTCATTTTAAGTTTTGATTGGTTCAGGGCCCCATGGCCCCTTCCGAGATTATGACACCCCTTGAAAAATGTATTGTCACTGCAAATAATTTTAAGAGTCAGAACATTATCTGATAGGAATTATGATTGTTTTGATGTTTAAAAATTAATTGGAGTTTGAAAATCTGTGAAGACATTGCATTGCATCCATAGTGTTTATTTCACACTTTTTGTAACTATAACTTCTAATCAACTTTTGTTAAATGAAGACTGGATTGCCTGTCCTAGTTCCAGTAATCTCCACTAGGCTTCACTTATTGATACTAAGACAGGTCCAGACTGACATTTTGGTCAGGATCAAGTTCAGCTGGCATTGATTGGTCGATTCAATCAAAGAATTTTTTGTTTGGTTGGAGCTCAAGGATTCAGTCTTGTTTCTGTTGGAAGTATATATGAAGGAAGTGCTGGTGAAATTTTGACAAAAATATGTCATGGAAAATATACCAAAATAAATTTTAATGTTTTTTTTTCAAAATTAATAATTTCTTACATATACTGTGAGAATGAAAGCAGTGCACACTTCGAAAATTACCAACATAGGGCCATCAGTAGAAATCCGGATTTGATTTTTCTGCAAAACAGATCAAACCCCATCTTGAAAAGGAATATTCCTGTTGAAAATCTACATGTGTCAGCTGATCGAAACTCACAGGCAATCCAGTCTATTGTCAAACATACCTCAGACAGTACTGTCAAACCCTTCTGGTTCCTGGACTGTGATAAAACTATAGGATCTTTTATATTGTACTTGTATAGATGTTTTCAGTGAATAGATCTGTCATTTAGTTAATCAGAGTAACATGTGAATACTTACCAACACTCAGTAATTAATGGACACTGTCAAATCTCACACGCTCATGACCCCACGTCAAATGTAACAAGTTAATGCCGGTGACTAAAGTGAATATTTCATAACCACTGTCAAAGGTCAGTAATTCATAACCACTGTCAAAGGTCAGTAAGTCATAACCACTGTCAAAGGTCAGCTAAAGTGAATATTTCATAACCACTGTCAAAGGTTAGTAATTCATAACCACTGTCAAAGGTCAGTAAGTCATAACCACTGTCAAAGGTCAGTATTTCATGTCCACTCTCAAAGGTCATTAATTCATAACCACTGTCAAAGGGCAGTTATTCATAACCACTGTCAAAGGTCAGTAATTAATAACCACGGTCAAAGGTCAGTAATTCATAACTACTGTCAAAGGTCAGTAATTCGTAACCACTGTCAAAGGTCAGTATTTCATGTCCACTGTCAAAGATCAGTAATTCATAACCACTACACGCTCATGACCCCACGTCAAATGTAACAAGTTAATGCCGGTGACTAAAGTGAATATTTCATAACCACTGTCAAAGGTAAGTAATTCATCACCACTGTCAAAGGTCAGTAAGTCATAACCACTGTCAAAGGTCATTAATTCATAACCACGGTCAAATGTCAGTAATTCATAACCACTGACAAAGGTCAGTATTTCATGTCCACTCTCAAAGGTCATTAATTCATAACCACGGTCAAATGTCAGTAATTCATAACCACTGTGAAAGGTCAGTATTTCATGTCCACTGTCAAAGGACAGTAATTCATAACAACTGTCAAAGGTCAGTAATTCATGTCCACTGTCAAAGGTCAGTAAATCATAACCACTATCATAGGTCAGTAATTCATAACCACTGACAAAGGTCAGTAATTCATAACCCCTGTCAAAGGTCAGTAATTCATGTCCACTGTCAAAGGTCTGTAATTCATAACCACTGTAAAGGTCAGTAATTCATAACCACTGACAAAGGTCAGTATTTCATGTCCAGTCAAAGGTCAGTAATTCATAACAACTGTCAAAGGTCAGTAATTCATGTCCACTGTCAAAGGTCAGTCATTCATAACCACTGTCAAAGGCCAGTAATTCATAACCACTGTCCAAAGTCAGTAATTCATAACCACTGACAAAGGTCAGTAATTCATAACCCCTGTCAAAGGTCAGTAATTCATCACCACTGTCAAAGGTCAGTAACTCATAACCACTGTCAAAGGTCAGCTAAAGTGAATATTTCATAACCACTGTCATAGGTCAATAATTCATAACCACTGTCAAAAGTCAGTAATTCATAGCCACTGTCAAAGGTCAGTTATTCATGTCCACTGTCAAATCAGTAATTAACAGCCAGTGACAAAGGTCAGTCATTAAAAGCCAGTATCAAAGGTCAGTAATTAACAGCCAGTATCAAAAGTCAGTCAGTAATTCATAACCACTGACAAAGGTCAGTAATTCATAACTACTGTCAAAGGTCAGTAATTCGTAACCACTGTCAAAGGTCAGTATTTCATGTCCACTGTCAAAGATCAGTAATTCATAACCACTACACGCTCATGACCCCACGTCAAATGGAACAAGTTAATGCCGGTGACTAAAGTGAATATTTCATAACCACTGTCATAGGTCAATAATTCATAACCACTGTCAAAGGTCAGTTATTCATAACCACTGTCAAAGGTCAGTAATTCATGTCCACTGTCAAATCAGTAATTAACAGCCAGTGTCAAAGGTCAGTCATTAAAAGCCAGTGTCAAAGGTCAGTAATTAACAGCCACTATCAAAATCAGTAATTAACAGCCAGTGTCAAAGGTCAGTAATTAACAGCCAGTGTCAAAGGTCAGTAATTAACAGCCAGTGTCAATGGTCACCAGATAATGGCCTCAGTTGCAGTGTTCAGTATTTGTGTATACAGACTATGCCTGGGTTACATATAAATGGTGTTTTAAAGAAGATTATAGCTTTTATTTTATTAATAAAAAATTAGAAATTGTTTATTTTTTAATATATTGAAGTGATTTTTGTTATTGTGTCAGAAATTGTCCGACTGTACATATGATATTTTAGTTTTTGTTATTATTTTTGGTACTAAAAGTGTCTACGAACATATAATTTATGCCTTAGGACCTTTTCTTACACTGGTGTTTTATCCCTGGCAACTGACAGCAATTAGTCCTCAATTTTTATGAAAATAATAAGGGAAAAGATGAAAATTTTAGGTGATATCAAGAGCCTTTCATTTAATATTAAAATAAAATGCTCTCAAAGACAGACAATATCAATAATTGTATGATGTATAGCACCTATATTACAGATGTATTAAACTTTCTGCTATCTTCAGGGCTGACTAAAAAATATGCAAAAAATTAAAACATTGTATTTGTTTGCCCTTCTGATAGAGAGTTAGTTAGGACTGCCAGCTTAGTATAAAATGGCATTATCCCCCCCCCCCCCTCCCTCCCCATCCATGAATATTTCATCTTGGTTACCTTTACCAGCAACAAAATTGTAAGGCAAGGAGGTCCTAGTTAAACAGGTAATGACATTAATGTGCAATTTTAAGCCAGATATACCAATAGTTCCTTGTACCCCCCAAAAGGAAAAGGCCAAACCAGGACCCAGACTTGTGAATATTATCCAGATCTTCAGAACCCAATGTTTTATCTCTGAACCCGTTATATGCTACATCATAATACAGAAAATAACAAGAAATATCTGTAAATAAATGAATAATGACCGAGTTTACTGGCAATACCAGTGAATCTTAAACAACAGCGGATTTGTGACATTGCTAACTATGTGAAGATTCCATTCTGTTGCGTGTTTCCGTACCTCTGGAGTTTACTGGCAATACCAGTGAATCTTAAACAACAGCGGATTTGTGACATTGCTAACTACGTGAAGATTCCATTCTGTTGCGTGTTTCCGTACCTCTGGAAGTTGATAACAACCAACATTTTGTTGTATTATGCCTCCAGTTCACATACTGTCGCTAATAGTACAACAGAAGGACAAAAGTGTTTTATCCTCAGGAAGATTACCATCTTTCTTTTGTGTCATAAAACAAAATTCATATTTTGTAGAAGCTATTATTAATGAATGGAAAAACAATCCAGTCAGCACTGTAGGACACAGAACCTAAACCATTTTATACAGCTCTGCTGTAAAATAAAATCTGTACTATTGATGATACAACTGATAGTATAGGAAGAAAGATGTTTCTGTTTGAAAAAAAGGGCCAGTATCAAATGAAAAATGATTAAAAAATGAAAAATATCGCCAAATTATAAGCAGAATGACTTTTGTACAATTGTTAATGGTTTCTGGATTTTTGTGTAACTTGAAAAAGATGTATAAACTGTAGAAGGGTTATAGAATTTAGTTAAATACCTTTAATTTTCTATTGTCAGAATATTAAATTGATGAAATATTTTCTATAGACTATAGTAAATAGTGTCTATGAATATTTATTACCTCATTTAGTAGACTCATGCATTCAAAATATCTATCAATGAAGTTTTCACAATTTAATACGAAACTAGCATGAAGTCCATGTTTTGTCTTTATTAAAGTATAATTATTTTGTCTATATTAAAGCATAATTATTTTGTCTAAATAAATGTATAATTATTTTGTCTTTATTAAAGTATAATTATTTTGTCTATATTAAAGTATAATTATTTTGTCTATATTAATGTATAATTATTTTGTCTATATTAATGTATAATTATTTTGTCCTTTGTTGTCATGACAATTATGTATTATTTATCACTACATTTGTATTTTGTAATTATTTTTTTTTGGTTTTGAATCGGTAGTTTACATTTTGATATTTTGTCTTTAAACATAATTTTGACTCTTTGTTTTGTATTGTATAACCTGTCTTGACCACCCCCTGTCTAATCAAGATCCTTGTCTATATCAGGTTTGATGTTTGGTCCCAGCTTTAGTGTTAGTATATCAGCCTTGTCTAATCCAGACCCTGTCTAATCCAGACCCTGTCTACCCTCGACACTGGTATTGTTTCACAGATATTTTTAGGTAAACGATTGGTGATACACCCTGTACATTCTAGCCTTTCCACTTTTCCTAAGTTGACTTTCCCTGCAGAAGACTTTTTTTCCAGGACTGGTGAAAATATGCTAGTGACTATTAACATTCATTGTGAATTATTGTAAATAATTTTAGCTTGAACTTTTAAAGTTTTAATTATTTTCTATTCTTCGGTCAGTGTTACATTTAAAAGTATATGACTTACAGATATATTTAAAATGTTGATATACCAACACTATGACTTCCTATAGACCCTTATAGACAGGACCCTTATAGACAGACCCTTATAGATAGACCCTTATAGACAGACCCTTATAGATAGAACCCTTATAGATAGACCCTTATAGACAGGACCCTTATAGACAGATCCTTATAGACAGGACCCTTATAGATAGGAGCCTTATAGATAGACCCTTATAGACAGGACCCTTATAGAAAGGACCCTTATAGATAGAATCCTTATAGACAGTACCCTTATAGATAGGACCCTTATAGACAGATCCTTATAGATAGAATCCTTATAGACATATCCTTATAGACGTATCCTTATAGACAGGACCCTTATAGACAGATCCTTATAGATAGAATCCTTATATACAGATCCTCATAGACATATCCTTATAGACAGGACCCTTATAGACAGATCCTTATAGATAGAATCCTTAGAGACATATCCTTATAGACAGGACCCTTATAGACAGATCCTTATAGATAGAATCCTTAGAGACATATCCTTATAGACAGGACCCTTATAGACAGATCCTTATAGATATATCCTTATAGAAAGGACCCTTATAGATAGGACCTTTATAGACATATCCTTTTAGACAGGACCCTTATAGATAGGACCCTTATAGATAGACCCTTATAGACAGACCCTTATAGATAGAACCCTTATAGATAGGCCCTTATAGACAGGACCCTTATAGACAGACCCTTATAGATAGACCCTTATAGACAGACCCTTATAGATAGAACCCTTATAGATAGGCCCTTATAGACAGGACCCTTATAGACAGATCCCTATAGATAGAATCCTTATAGACATATCCTTATAGACGTATCCTTATAGACAGGACCCTTATAGACAGATCCTTATAGATAGAATC